AGAGGTGCATTTAAATGTTATAGAGCTAAACATGTTAAATTGGTGACCTGTTATCTTATTATTATTGTCTTGTTGCTGCATTTATTTTGTCAGGGAAAACTAATCGTGAGTCAGTTAAAAGTCAGGGAATTCTGAAATGATGTCAGACTGTGGAAACCCTGAATAAAATAACTATGTATAATGATTCTCTAGAAAAGTCCCATAATATCAATAGTATTATCTTGTATCAACATACCATGACTCTAAAATAAGTTATTCATTTGTGACATTGACTTCTGTCTTGTGATTTATCTTAAGTTTTTAACCTGTCATGGTTTTTTTTAGATTTTTAACATTACAATTTATATTTTACCAAGCATACAACAGTTTAAAGCAAAGTTTAGTTTGAAAAGAATGTGCAGGAAGGATTGAAAAGCATGTTAACACGGTAATGTAGGCTTGAGTTCATTATCTGATGCATGCAGATACACACCAGGAACCTGGAAACTTAAAAAATACTGAATTACAAAAAGCATTTAAAAAACAAACATGTTTCATTTACGGTATATATATACAAAAATGAATATTAGGAACTATGTTTAGCAAACATTATACTGGGCAAGTAAAAATTGTTTCTGGGCAAATGAAATGTGAAAGGGCAAGTGACTTTCACATTTCATTTGCCCAGAAACAGTTTTTACTTGCCCAGCATGATATTCATTATAATAATATATAATATTCATTTTTGCATATATATCAATGATATCAATTTAAATGTTTTTTTGTAATTCAGTATTTTCTAAGTTTACTGAACATATTTAATCTAGGGTTATCTGGGTGGAGGGTAAAATAGGTGGTGGGTGTGTTACTGTACTTACTGTACTTTTTTTGCCTTGTTGTTTTTTAGCCTGCCAAGTTGAAAAAAAAGTGTCTGATTCACGCCAATTCCCGGACAAAAATCACACCATCTGGCGGAAAATAACGCAACTTTTTCAAATCACGCGAGAATGTGTACAAAACAACAAAAATGGTGCTTCTGGGTCGTTTTCATCGACTGTCAGTGATTTTAAAGTAATTTTGAGTGATTTCATTGCACTTGCCCGGCAGGCAAATGCGATGAAATTTGTACTCTCCCAACAATAAAAACTACTTGCCCCGGGAGATCGGGCGATGGTTAACATCGAGCCCTGACACCACATTCACCCATTCACTCTCACACGGATGATGCAAANCAGCAGACAAGATAGAGGAGAGCAGGAGGCGGGGTTACCAATCTACTTGCTCTGGAGAGCAGAGTTCTCTGCTTCTAGATGCTGTTACTAAAGTCTCCAGTTGCAGAAAAAAGTCACTAGATTTGGCGCTAGGCACTTTTTCTAATAAAATTGCTAGAGGGGTATGAGATTTTGTCACTAAATATAGCGACAAAAAGGGCTAAGTTCGTAACACTGCTCTTTGCATCGTTTGTTTTCAAATGGTTTTCTGCTGTCTGTTTGGACCTTTCTGAACATGTGCAACAAATGGACTGATCCAATATGGTGGACACTGAAGGGCCTGAGACACACTTAATATTATAAGCGTTCTGATGGCATTTCAACAAAAGAACTTGGTTCCCTAGGCAACCACCTAGTTTTGCCTAATGGTAAATCCACCCCTGACCATGACCCACAGTCGTGTCGACAAAGAGGCAAGGAGCTGATTTGGAACAGGATTTGTTGCTACTTTATCAGCAGCTTTTCTCTTTTTATTTCCATTGATCTTTAAAAGAGAGTCTAGCTTCAGGTGTGTTTGTTTGTGCATGAATGCAGGAGGGTCCCGGTCAGCTGCCAGCCCATTGATGATGATGACGTAGATGTTGCCAGTGAGAGAGAGAGAGTGCTCCGCGGCGACGCCGACGGCGACATGCTGCAGATCGAGAACCTGACAAAGGTTTCACTCTCTGATATGGTCCAGACTGTGGCCCCCGAACCACTGAAACATCAGATAGAATGACTAATAAAACCCGTCTGATTTGTTGCCCCTCAGGTATATAAGTCCAGGAAGATGGGTCGCATCCTGGCCGTGGACCGCCTGTGTCTGGGCGTCCGGCCTGGGGAGTGTTTCGGACTTCTGGGAGTGAACGGAGCAGGGAAGACCAGCACTTTTAAGATGCTGACAGGAGACGAGTGCACTACAGGAGGAGAGGCTTTCATCAATGGAAACAGGTCAGCACCATCTTTAGGAATGATCTTTCTTCTGTTGGACCCTCTTACAGGGTTAAGCCTGATGTTACGGTGTTTTAGTCAAAATCTGTTAAAAGTAGGCATGAAATCTGAAAATGAGAGCATTACCTGTTACTGTCAAAT